CGTTTCTGGATTTGTATTAATCTGTATAGTAGTATGATTAGGCGCTGTGTGAGTCCCCCCCCCATATGTACATATTCCCGAGTAAAATACACATTTTGTTTTAGATCAGAGCATTGACAGCAGAAACACGAAATTGATGTATAAGTATTTATATCTATAAGTTATTCTTTTTTGCAGTGTGTAAAAAACAATATCAGAGAGAGAGAGAGAGAGAGAGAGAGAGAGAGAGAGAGAGAGAGACTCATGAAACCCCGTGTAATTGACATACATGTACATCTGTGAAAAAATATATGTACCGTAATTATATTGCATTCACAATTAATAATTCTAATGATTTTTAATTTCCAGAACTTTGGTTCGTCTTCAACTGTTCAACCCATTTACACATTCGTTCTCTGTACCTGTACGCACGAAACCCTTGTGGATCACCTCAGGGTCAATCAAATTCTCATGATTTAAGCCGATTTGAAAACTTCTTATGGTCAGTTCTGAGTTCAAGTGTGTAACACACTCTTGAAACTGACATCCAGCGAAATTCATCTTCCCGGTTTCACCACAACGCTTATAAAAACTTACGTGTATTTTGTAAATTATCCTTTTTAAGACATATATAAGATGTATTCTGTATATTATACATGTAAAATTTTAAGAAAAATTTACAATAATTTAACATAAAATAGCAAATTTCTGATGAAGTTGTTTACCAGCTAATAGGCATGTAGCAACAGGGGGTGGGGGTGGGGGTGAGAGGGCTTAGCCCCTCCCCCCCACTTTTCCCAACATTACTTTTTCTATTGAAAATGTTCATTGAAAGACAGGTTGCCAACCCCAACCCCCCATACACACAGTTTATACAACGGTAAAGTTATATAAGGGAAATGTAGTTATTGTATTGTATGCCAAGGAACTTTTACTGAAATAAGTTGTTTTTTCGACTTTGAGCAAGGTTTCTCTCTGCTTGTCAACGTTTGTAAAAATTTCTTTGGCTGCCCCCCCCCCCATTTAAAAGACGATGCTACGTAATTCGTATAGCTTTCTAAAAAGGGGGGAGGCTAACAGACCATTCATAAAATCACTTATTATCCAAAAAAAAAAATGCAAACCGTTTCCTTCTTTTAAAATTTTTAAATGTTTAAAGTTGATCGATATTTTGTTGGATTATCGTAATGCGTAGTCCGCAGAAGTTATGCTTGTGTAGAAGAGTTCTGATTTCGAGGGGAGATAACTCACTTTTTAAAATGGGGAATCGAAGCCCATTGGAAGTAGAAAAAGGTCGATAAATGTAGAACCAAACCGGAACGGATATACGAAATTCTGAATTTTTTTTTAAAGTCTGTTTGTTTTTGTTTGTTTGTTAATGCTACGTTCCCACTATCACGATTGGCGCCACGATTGGTATCGGGGACTCGAACGTGGACAAATCGTAGTGATCGTATCCAACCGAAACAAATCTTGTGTTCACTCGTGGCTATCGTGTTGATCGTGAAATTTTTTTTGTCTGTCAGAAATTTTTCTACGATTAACACGATTAGTTTAAATCATCGCATCAAATCGCATTACATCGTAACTATTTTGGCTTTCATATCGATCGGAATCGATAAACACACATCCCGCTGAGTGATTCGTTGCGATGTTTCACGTTCTGTCACTATCTGTGACACTTTGTTACTGCTTGCTGTATTTTCCCGCTCAGAGACGATTTGATACGGACGCATGAGAGTAAACGCCATTTGACACGAGTGTTAACGCTTTGTTTCGGACGATCACGCTGTATTACGAGTATTTAAGCTTGCATAAATAACGGTAAAATTGAACGCGTTTCTTTCCCCGAATGAAAAAAGAATGTCTGAGTTTTGGAAAAATATTTTTAAAGATGACTTAAAGGAAAGAGGGGGAGATCCTATATTCATCTGAACCTGTACCCGTTCGACCAGAGGCAACATCGGTGAAAAAAATAAAAAGATAAGAAAACATACTGCTGCTTTTGCTCTACTTTGACAGCAATAGTATATGACCATAGTAACACTACAAACACCACGTTCATGGCGTTGTCATCAACCTCAACTTCTACCATTATTATTGATTGTATTTGTATGTTTTGTTTACTTTTTAATAGATAAAATATAATGGACTCAGTTTTTTTATATATCTTTCGGGGTAAAGCTCAAAGCGTGTTTATCTTTTGATACTGATGACATTGCAATGAACGTGTTATTCTATTAGCGCAAGAGTGCGCGATGAACGTATTATATCGCAAGAGTACCTATTAAAACGTATCGTTTCAAATCATCGGATCGTGAAATTCGTGACAGATCGAGGTTCTTTTTCGACTAAATCTTGATAATCCTATTGGAACGTAATTCATCTTATCCGAACGTTTGTCAGATCGTCAGAGATCGCATCACATGCAATTTATCCATCGTGGCCATAACGTATAAAAGCGTAACGAAACGTATGAAAACGCACCTATACGCATCTCTTCGTATCTTGGCATAAAATTCAATAAAAACTCTGCGATCAACTACGATTGATCTATCGTGACGTTCGTAACTGACCGCACGACAGTGGGAACGTAGCATTATTCAGGAAATGGCACATGTAACATAAGATTGGCACATAGAAACATAAGATGGCACATACCGGGTAAATAAAATTAGACAATATAATATACTATTAGCTTCTTAAAACACATATTATGTGTTTTAAAAAGCTCATAGTATCAAAAAAACTAATCTTTCAGATATTGATCGCATTTTGAATAAAAGTTGAAAAGACGGATTTATCCTTAACCTACGCGTGCGGATGACGTTAGATTCTAAACAAAGAATAATTTATTTTAAACAGCCTAATACCACATGACTTCTAAAATGGCACATGCATACAACAATTATACAAATACATCAGCATACAAATACATCAGCAATTCTGAGAATCAAAATAACTTAATAACTCTCCGGTAAATTATTAATAGTTAACATGTTATTCTGCATTCAGACGAATTTAACATGATTAAGAACAAATGTTGACGGTTAGTGTATTGGGGTGCAGGAAAGGAAAATTCACCAAATCATACGTCATCGCGGTAAAATGTCAAACAAAATATCTTTCTGCAGTTCCAATAAATTTTATGTGTTATAAGTGCATCTAAACGTTGAGTTTACACTGATTTTCTTTTCTTTGAAAGCCATGAAGATACGAGAAATGATAGCATGTATCAACAAACCTGTAGGGTAGAACCTTCGCGAACCCCACGTGAATGTCGCCGAAATCCCGTTTCTTCTTCATCCAATGATTATATTAATCTCCTGACTAAATTTTTGTCAGGAAAGTTGCTTTTTAATTTCAAGCCTGATTTTTTTTGTTTTTTGTTTTTTTTTTTTCGTTTTGGTCGACTTTGTCAATGTAGCAGGCCTACCGGGCTTCCCTCTCTTACTATGCTGTTTTGTTTATGAAAACTAAACGCATGCATGTATAGCATTGAATGTGGAACCTCGAACACGTTGGAATGTATATATTTATGGACCATAAATACCGTATAAGTAGATATTTTAGCGAGGACTTAATTTTGGCATTATTAGCGAGGATGCTGAGATCGCTAAAATTACATATCGCTAAAAATTTATTGCATTTTATTTGAAATAGATTCTTTATTGAACATTGAAAATCTCTAAAATTACATATCGCTAAAAATAAAATACCAGTTTTTAAGGGCAGATCGCTAAATTTCCGTCTCGCTAAAATTTCCACTTATACGGTAATCATTAATTTAAGTGAAATAATCAGAATTATTTACTTATGAAATTTGTAATTTTCTGAAAGTTTTTAGAGATGCGCCGTATTGCCACTTTAAAACACCAAGATGCTTAAGTTACATGTACGTGCAATGTGGAAATTGTGTCATGTACAAAATACATCGTGTAACAGAAATTGAAAAGGATAATGTTTTTAAAACATTAATTGTTAACAATAAAAAATGAATATAAATTAATGAATTGAAAATCCACACGTGTATGTTTCAGATATTAAAGTCCTAAGAATATGCAAAGCGTTTTTCTCGGATAATTATTGGCACACTGAATTAAATTTTCAGCAAAATTTAATTTTCAGCAAAATATTAATGTTTATTTATCTTATTTCAGTACTTGTACATCCTAATATTTTTTTTATAATAAAATGTAGACAAAAATAATTAAAGAGTGTGCTAATGATTTTCCGAGAAAAACACTGTGTCTACGATTTTACCGGACAACCCTGTACATATGGCACCTGATCCTTCCGCTGATGTTTGTAGAAATCGGCGTTTGCTCTTTTCCTGATTTATATTTTGTGAATGGACTTTTGGGTATAATTCCTGTTCATTGTGATCATTTTTTAATTAATTTATCATTAGGACTTTAATATCATACGTACGTGAATTTTCCTTAAGGATAGATGATACAAACAAACTTTTGTCAAAAAATTTGAAAATAATGACTTGGGTCATATTTCAAAGACTAAAATGATTAACTTTCACGGCGTAGTTTTTAATTTTTTATTCCAAGTTGGACGAAAATGAAATTTAAAGTGAAAAATTTTTGTATAGAATAATAAGGATTGAGTATTGTTTCAGAAGGGTAGAATTTTGAACATCACAGAAGGTTTACAATTTCTTCATGTTCTAGAAATTTATCATTTGCAAGGAAATTAGGTCAAAAAATATATACCAATCCAGGCATCCATTTTTTGTTTGTATCCTCTGTCCTTAAGTTATATGTCAAGTAACTCAATTCATTAAATTATATTCATTTTTATCGTTAAGAATGAATGTTTTAAAAACTCACTTCTTTTGTGTTCCACAGTGTATTTTGAACATGTCTCTGCATAACTGCTGCATTGCAGGGAAGCTACGCTTCTTGGTGTTTTGACACGTTTTGTATTGACAAACTGCATATTAAGTATTCGCGGTAAGTTTGCAATGACTTAAAATAACTATTAAATAACAAGGAAGAAAAAAAGTAATAAAAATTCACCCAGTGTATGCACTTGTGCATATTCCAATCCTAGTGGAAAATACATAAACCCGTCTAAACAAGTATTCAAAGAAAACTTTCAAGGAACCAAGATGCGATTCTTAAAAGTAAGTCATTTTGAAATCTGAATAAAGATAAATTTTGATTTCTGTATACATTAGACAGTTTTAATTAACAAAATATAGACTGTATTAATTTTGCAGGTTGTTACGCTCATAATTTCCTTATTTCTTAATGTTGACGGTTGGTTGTTTTGGGGTAAAAAGGGAAACAACAATGATTGTACTAAACTAGGTATGTGATGATTCAGAAAGTATTCATTGAGAAAATTACCCATTAATCTTGATGATTATACGGACCCGTACTTGTAAGACAAATCGATTTTCGTCATAACCAATAAAATTTTAACTTGTTTAATCTTAAACTACTATTAAAAATATTCTTTTAAACGAAATTGTTTTTTTTAAATGCTAAGCTTATTACGGCAGAAGTAAAAGGAAGTTTTTCGGCAAGAAATACCCGGTAAAATATTTTTAAAAAAAAGACTTTTTTTGGTCCACCACATTTTTATATTAACATTGTGTTCAATATAAAATTGTATAAATATAATTTTTCAAAAACAGTACTGTGTATGCAATTCAAAATTTTAATTGTAGAAGTTACTAGTAATGCGTCTTCGCAAGCCAAGGTTTTTCGGTCCGTTTCGGACCGTTTCGAATTTTTCATTTTAATATTTGTTTTGAACTTTGGTGTTTTTTTATCTTCATGGATTCATCCAGAAATATAAATTTTACGACAAACAGATGGTGCTTATCCGTATTATTTTGGCACGACTGATCTCTCTTGCGTAATAATACAAAGTCTGAAAAGGGGAAAACGTAGTGCTCCTGCAAGAGGAACTTTGGATTTGTCCCACCGCTTCATAGAATACAGAGGAAACTACTATGATCTTTTATGTAAGTGCTTCCTCCTGTATTCGAAATAAATGTTTACAAAATAACATGTCTAATACTAGTAATCATTTGCCAATTGTTTCCTGGTACATGTACTATAAAATCACTTATTTCCATTGTGGCTAATTTTTTTTGCTCACAGAAAAAACACGATACTGTATTTTGAAGATTTAAAAGTTTATTGAAGGGTATTTATTATGATGAATTGAACAAAATAAGTACAGCAGGAAAATAATTGTTTTACATTATTGTTAATATATAATACTTGAAGTTAATGTATTTGATACGGTCAAAAGATAAGTATAAAACACAGTTGAAAGGCAGACTTTCTGATAAATAAATGGGATTAATTTTTATCATTTGCTTTTTACATCTCTAATTTATCTTTCCCGCCTTTAGCTAACTCCAAAGTGGCAATCTCTAAATCACGATTATGGGGAGATTCATGTAGCGGGAGTAAGGAAGCCTCCCCAGCTGGGTACAGCGAACTCAGTTCAGAGTGCATAGAAGGTTGTGCTAAAAATTACAAATGTAAGTATGGAAGTTACAACCTGTTAACCAACAACTGCCATCACCTCGCTAACCGGTTGTCTGAGGTTTTATGTAGAAGAGGTACAACCTGCCCTGCATGGTGCGAAGGAAGCTGTAACGATGCAGTGTACATTTAGTGATGCATGAAATTTTCATGTGGAATCACGTTGGGCGCCACCTTTTGGTGTTTTCAAATGCTTCATAGATAAACAATTAAATAAGAATTAATTATTTAATTAAAAAACCACTTCCATCTCCTATACTCCCGATTTGAATTGTGCCTAAAATAAAAACCTTTAATAGTGTAAATATCTATCTAAACTTTTCATATTATACAATTATGATGCACAAGTTTAATTACAACAACTTTATATTTTTAAAAATCTATATGTCTAATTTCGTGAAATTCATGCATGATAGAGAATGTGACTGCATTTAGTTGAAATCACTTGTAAAAATATATTGCTTTGTGTAATAAATTATATATTTTTATTTGAATACTTTTTTCCACTTAAGTCCAAAATGACAAAATGATTGCTGTGACAATTTCGTAAAAGGGGCAAGAACACAGACCTCTGGAAATTCAAGAGGTTGAATGGATCAAGTGTATAGAATAAGTAGGCATCACTTGCTATAAGCGGAAACACTCACCATGAGCCATATGTATTGATCACGTAACTGGAACATATCTTGATGAAATTTAGTACGAATAAATAAAGGCATAACATACATTTAACTCATTGCATATTGGAATAAAATATGCTGTAAAATTTTGTTCAGCAGGAAGTTTTAATTTCTGAATAAAACTCACATGTGAATTTTTAATGCCCCAATAATAAAGGATAATACATAACATGTTGTAAATACAATTGTTCTGGAACAAATTTCTTTAATCGTACGTATAAGGAAGGTTTCAATTTTTTATTTCCCCTGCTATTGTAAAAGTTTACGTGTAATATTTGTAAATAGGAAAAATTGGAGATTGTTCCTGACCATAGACGTTAAGATATTTAGCTAGATCTTTCTTTATTCAGATTGGTTGATATGTTGCTTGTGTATTTGAGTATGTGTGAAAAGGTTCTCATTTCACATATGAAGTATACACAGCCATCAAGAGTAACACAATAATGTTCTGAGAGGCACACTACATATCTCCAATGCACGATTATTGAATCTCTATTTTCGAATCAAAAGGAAATTTAATTCTTCTCTCAGTTGCATTTACATAATTTACTGAAAAATATAAGATCGAATGAATTTGCAAATTATTATTTCTAATGAAGAATATCTAGATTGAACAGGATTTTTTCTGGTACATGGCATTCTTTACTGTGTACACTTTCATACAATGCAGACAATTTCCATTTATCAGTTCTTTAGCAGATTTTGTATTGACATAATTACGTACAGTTTGCAAAGTCACGTAAAATAGCCATAGAATTATAATGAAAAAATTTTATTCACAAGCAGGAAAAGTCTATTTTAGCCCTCTTCCTAAATGAAAATATACAAAGCCTTGTCCTAAAAATCATTAAAGTTTCATGCAACTAAGATATGACTAACTAGGTCAGAAGATGACGTTAATTGAATTATTTATCAAATAGCCAATTTTCAATTGCCAAATGGAACTCTAAAGTAATAAATTGTCCATGGGGCACATTGTGGTTGAACTGGAAACATGAAACGGTGTATTTTGAAGTTAATAAAATTATTAAGAAGACATAAGTTCTGATGAAATTAAGGAAATAAAACAACACGATTATAGCTATTTTTACTTACTTTTGAACATTTAAAAAAACTGTGTATTATAAACTATGGAAGATAAATTTTGAATAGGTATTCCAATAATACTAATGAAAGAATTGAATGCATGTATGAAGATAGGGAACAGGTTCAAAGGCTTGCAATATGGTAAATTTAAACGAGACTGTTGGTATTCGTATTTCATCTACCTGTTTGGCAATGGCTTGCGTCGTATTAGAAATTGTTCTCTTGAAGAGCCTGCTTTTGCGTATTAAATCAACCAGGATACATAATAATAAACCAAAATTATTACAAATTTGTGTCCACTGTGACAGAACTTTTAACATCATTTTGGTAATAATTTATTTGATCTCTTAACAATGATCTTGAAGTTTGACCTTTTGCAAGAATAAACTTCAGTCTGAATGGTTGGTGCTAGTGTTTTATATTTTATATATGTATAACAAATGACCAGATCTTGTTAAGCTAAATGCTACATCGACATTTCTTTTTACCTTTTGACCTTAAAAACTTGAAGTAAATATATTAGTTTGCATTTGTAAAATTTTAACCTTATCTATATAATGTTACATTTCATGTGACAAGATATTTCCTTTACTACGAATATCTTTTTACCTCATGACCGTGGAGAATTAACTTATGAAAATATGACTTTTGTCATATTTTCTTTATGGTACTAAGGTTTTCATGTTTCAAATGCTTATTCCTTTTGACATAACCTTTTTCTAGGTGCCAACATTTTCAAACTTTTGATCTTTTAATTGGATTCTTTTATAAATTTGTATCAGAGGAAAAAGATGTTAATGAGCATACAGATTTCCTTTAAAATGATTTTAAAAATGAAAATGAACACTCTTTGATAAATAAACTTTTAATTATTATAAAACTAACATGATAGATTATCAAAATATATACCCTGTACATAAAACTGAACAGTAATGACAGAAGTACATTGGTACAAAGTTAGTAAAAGATGAATGGCATTCCTCGATATTCCATGTCATAAATATATTTTTATAAATATAAATATTATCTTTATAGATAAATTTATCTATGCCATTCCTTTATACAACAATCAATTTATCTTGACGGCACAATTAATGCAAAGTCATCGGGTCAATAGTTATAAAAATATTTTGAAATGAATATAGAATTTCTATTTTTAAAAATATAACATTTAATTATTAACAGTTTTTATACTCACTTCTTTTCATAGAAATGAAGTTAACTCTTTGTACTGATATATGTAAAATCGTTTGAAAGGAGTCTACTGTGAAATCACAAATTATCGTGGTGGGGGTTTAATTTTCGTTGTTTTCGAAATGTGAAGAGACCCACGAATTCATGTCCACCACGAAATGTAAAATGTTACACACATAACTTCTAAACAATTCTACATCCATGAAATCAAAGCCCCACGAACCTAGAGTTTTTCCTCAAACCGCGAAAATAAGAGATTTTACAGTATTTTGAAACAGCTTAATAACTAGGTGTAAGCCAAGAAGCCTAACCACTTTCTAGAAAACATATTTTCTATGATATTTCCATCTGAACTATATTAAAAGATATTCAGGTGAAACAAAAAAAAAATTAAACAAGTTTGTTCCATCCACATCAAAGTGCATGTCAAGTGAAGGTTTATAAGTATATAATATCAACCGCTCTTTGAATATTTAGACTTTTTCTTCAGCTTGTTAGGAAAATAAGTAGATGAACAGAAAAAGAAGAGAAAATAAGAGATAAAAAATAAAGAGGTCACTCTTTCCTCATTCCTAAATGTAGTTTTTTTCATTAAACATAACAAAGATGTGTTTCTAATAAAAAGAAAAAAGAAAAAAAAAAAAAGAAAAAGAATTTAAAAAGCTATCCAAAACAGATTTATAGTCAAACAGGTTTTAGAATACTAACTTTTCCAAATCAAAGTGGTTTTATCAACACTCTAGATAAAGGGTTAATGTGATCAAAAGAATGGTATATTGTATGATTATACTATTAAGTATTATACATGATATTAAACATTTGTAAAATGTTTTTTCGTAAACACATATATGTATACATGTAGCATTAAGATACATAAAATTAATTGAGCAAGGAATTAAAGTTATTTACAATAGAAGTCTGCTTCACACAACACGTACGCCAGTGCAATAATTTGGCTGATATTTAATTTTTGTTTAAATTCAACAACATCCACCCTTATTTTAATTTTGGGGGAAATTTTTTTCATTACCACACGCTGTTTCCTTATATTCTACTGGAACTCCTATTATAGGGAACTTTACCAAATATGATATCATCGATAGTGAGTGCCCTTGACTTATTCGTTTCACTCATCAGTGCGGGGGGATCGATCATCCATTGTATGTTTTTGTTTCGTTTTGGAGTTACCGGTGGTCGTGTTGTTCTCCTTCGGAAGGCAGATGTCACTTTTAGTTGAATAGGAGAGTTTGGTCGAACAATGGCTGTTGTCGGTGACATGGTCCCGTATACCACCGGTCTTGTGGAGTAAGTCATTATTTGTGGTTCCTGTGTTTCTTTTGTGTTAATATTCGATTCTGTATCTTTATTTGTTTTGTTGATGTAACTTTTTGGTTCCTGGGACGATGCGTCTCTGAGAGGCGATTCTTGAAACTCTGAGGGAATATTTTGATATTTTGCTTCAAGAACACTCTCAGTCTTTGGTTCAACTGAAGTCTTTGAATCCTCTTCCGGAAGGAAAGTTGTTGGAAAACTGTCTAAAGGTGAACAGGAACATTGACAGTCCATATTAGAGTCCGGAACATAGGCCAAACTATGCAAAATCGTTTCCGCTAGCAGAACTAAGGTAAATGTCAGGCGTACCATACTGTGCCGAAATGAGCTATGCCTACACCAAACAAAATTCAAACAAATTACACCACCTGCATAATTCTATGACAGAAGAACAAATGAGATAATAAAATGATTGACGATACTTGTCATAATTTGTGCATTATTTGAGCAATTAAACCTTACCAAGGCCATTTTTTTTTTAAATAAATGGGTTTTACATTTTTTCTCCCAGAAATTGGGTTGTGAGAAAGAAGATCATGAAGAGGAAAATACTTTAATTACCATGGGAGTGAAACTTCCCTGTCTTTCACGTTCAATTGCAAATATCAGTTTATATGGATTTTTTTTTTCAAAATTTCTTTTAAATATAATTAGTTTGTAAATTATTTATGAAAACATTTACATTTCTTTTTAATTTTGTGCATTTTTAAATAAACTTTAGTCTTATTGGTTTTTTTTTTATCTGTTTTTTATTTAATTGTACAAAAAATACTTCATATTCTTTTTTTTAAACCGTGAAGCATAAACTATTATTTTTTTATGATCATTACATGCAGGCTAAATGTTCTACTAGGGATATCTGTTTAGAAAAGGTATTTTAACAAGGTACTTTTTCTCTGATTTAACGTATTGCAGAAAGGTCTTCGAATTTATTGAAACGAAAACAACACCATTAAATACAAAATCTTACTTAACAGCTATAAAGAGCACAATTTCTCATTCTTTGTTAGCCGTGAAAGTAGTTGAAAGTCGTAATTCTCTTTCCTTATTATGAAAATGAATATGATTAATAAACTTTGAAAATATAATTTTCCTCGTATTTTTAAATGTCAGTGAGAATAAAGCTCCGATATGCAATGCAAAATAAGTTGGTAAAAAGGAATTTACAATTAATGGTTTTTATCTTCTTGTAAATA